TGCTACAAATATACCCCAGCGACTTAAGACTGCTTTTGTGCTCCAGGGTCACATATAACAAAATAAAAGTTTGGATTATCATATGGACTATAATTTTATTTTATTATTCGGAGTTATGAAGATATAACCATTTATCCAAGTGTTGTTAAAAATGTAACAATAAAACAAATTATTTGTTGTAACAAATTTGAATAAATTATATTTTATAACAAATTATATTTGTTATAAAAATATAAAAAATTATATTATATAAAAATACAACAAAAATATAAATATAAAAATATAACAAGTACATGTTTTATTATATATAACATTGTATTTTGTAACAGATTACAATAAATTATATTTTGTAACAAATTATATTTGTTGTAAAAGTATAACATATCATTTATTTTTTTTGTATAAAGGTGCGTTTGACATTTTCACACCAATTAATCCACATTTCCCCCAAAATATTTCGAGAAGTATTTTAGTCACAATTAATGCAACTATCCTGGTAAACCCAAAGGGTTTGCATACTTTTTCCTTGCAGCTGTAATGAATCTCTCTCTGATAATGGTCTGATATGCGTATTTGGTTATATGTCAATGTCTGCAGGCCGTCTCTAAAGCGGCGAGGTTGCTGCTGAATCCTGATGCCCCGTCCATCCCGTCTCTTGGACAGGCGTTCGGATATGAAGAGGATGCTCAAGGTGTCCTGCACCGGCACAAACCCCCCACCAGAGACCAGACCCTCGGCCCGGCCTTCTACAGTCCCGTACCGGTCAGAAAGATTACGAGCAGTGTGTGTAAATGGATGTGCACTCAGTGAAAAAGATACACGTCTAATGGAGTGCTTTGAGTGTGTGTGTGTGAGGTCAGATGTGTCCATTAACAGAAGAGCGTCTTTATCCAAGTGTTGTTAAAAATGTAACAATAAAACAAATTATTTGTTGTAACAAATTTGAATAAATTATATTTTATAACAAATTATATTTGTTATAAAAATATAAAAAATTATATTATATAAAAATACAACAAAAATATAAATATAAAAATATAACAAGTACATGTTTTATTATATATAACATTGTATTTTGTAACAGATTACAATAAATTATATTTTGTAACAAATTATATTTGTTGTAAAAGTATAACAAATTATATTTTGCATAAACCCTGTAATAAATAAATAATAGATAATAAACCGTTTTGTAAGATCATTGCATTTTTTGCATTTTGCGTATGATAGCAAGTGTTGTTAAAAAACAATAACAAATTATATTTTGTAACAAATGATAAATTATTTTTTCTAACAAATTATATTTGTTATAAAAATATAACAAATTACTATATATAACAAAA